GTCCAAGCAGGGGGAGCCTGGCTTCCTGCCATACAGCCACTGGCTATAAGGTTTTGTGGGTATAGCTTGCCTCTCCCTGGAAAAGCACCACAGGGGCCCCTTCCTATCTGCCTACCTGCGTCACCCCTCCACTACCCCTCCCCCAAGCATGCCCCTGACAGAGTGCCCAGCTTCACAACTAAGTGTTGACTATTCCATCAACTCTGGGCACTTCTGATGTCAGTGCCCATCCAGCTAAGGCTGTCCAGTCCTCTGAGCCCGTGACCAGACAGCCCACGTGCCTAAACACTTATTCAGAGCTTACAGGTCCTGAGCTCACCTGCCCAGGTGTATCAGGTATCTCCATGGCACCGTGGAGGCATTTCTCAAATGTTCATAATCTTATTTGAATGGATTTTGTCCAGAAATGATATCTTACATGATCAGGAATTTACATAACCTTATGACTCCAAGATGGTTCTTCTCAACCCTGGGCTGGAAGGCTGATCCATTTCAGAACAGGCATCTTGAGCTAAAAGATGGTAATTTAATTAGGATTTTATGTTTCTATTCAAGTTTGGGAAGACTTGACTCTGAAACGGCCAGTGCCGTGGCAATGTCTGGAGCAGATGCGCTCTTCTCTCAGAGGCTGCCGAACTGCTAATGAGGTGGGAGGGGAAAGCTTCCCCGCTGAGCGTGTCCCACATGGGGCTCTGAGCCCTTTGACAGGCCCCGGGAGCACAGCTAGTGCTGCTGCAGAGGGACAAGGGAGATCTGTCACCCTGGAACTGTTTTAGAAACCATCTACTTTCAGAACTTTGGATGGCACCATAGAACTTTACCCAGCAGAGCCTCATTCTCAGTGGTTTATCAAAGTTTGCATGATTTGTTTTCCTTAACAAATCTTAATTCTGTGGATTCAAAGAGTTTGGCTCTTGTATAAGATGAGAGACAAAAAACAAGGCTTGGGGACTGTGTGGGGCCTGTTCTCAGACCTACTGGCCCCCGAGATTGTGGGGCATTCATTACCCTCGATTCCTCAGAATTGCCATTCTATTTGACCTACTCCCCACCTGTGGGATGGGGCCCCCTGGTGGGCTGAGACTTTGGGTTGTATTTGACACGGTTTCTGAAGGTACCATGGTTTCTGAAGTACCAGTCCTGAAGGTACTGTCTGAATTTAAAAACCATTAAATGACATGGTGAGAAAGATGTTCCCTTTCCAGTTTTCTTTCTATCTTGGTTTTTAAAACTGAGAAAGACTCTCTCCGGGCGAGGAATGTCCTTAACACTCTAACACCTGTTAATATTCCCCTTTGAAACTAAGAGCAGCTGCAGGCAACTGCATCAGCCAGAAGCAGGGATACTCTTAGCTTCCCTGCAATCAATTATATGGCCATTTCCTGTTTATGGTAGACAGCCTTGCTTTTCATTTACCAGTGTGGTCCGTTCCCTTTGTAACTTTGGTGTGAGTGTGTTTTGCTTTGTTTATGTGAATAATTAGTCTGAGTTCTCAAGTGATGCAGGTCCAGGGGTCACACCTTGAAAATGACTGTCAGGTGCAGCGCACCTGGGAAGCTTAAAGGCGTTCATAATGCCTGCGCCTTAACACACACCAATTGATCAGACTCTGAGGGTGCAACCCGGGCACCCGCCTTTGACTAAAATACCCCTGGAGTTTGCAGTGCACAGCTGAGGTGGAGAACTCAGCTGATCTGGCATACTTGAGATCCAGCCAGGGACCTGTTGTCACCCACCTGTGACCCATACCTGGATTGCATTTCCCCTTCTCTCCCTCTCCCCTCCTCCACTCCCCCAGCTCTTTTCTCTTAGCTCCTGCTCCCCCAGCCTCCCTGTGCCTACTCCTGCTGTGAGACCCTCCAGCACTGCCTCTTAATTTTAAGACATTGCTGGTACCACACATGGTTGCAAGCGGCTAGAACTTTCCACATCGTACATTTCTTCATGGCATTTGCTTTCTAATTCATAAGCTGTTAGTCCAGTTTCTGAACAACCTCCAGTAACCTGTATTAACGACAATAATAGCAGTCATTATTGGCTCTCTCGGTCTACCTGCCTCTGTTCTAAATCCTACATGTGTGAACCTCTCTAATCCCCACGCAATCCTAAGAGAAAGATATAATTTTCCAGATGAAGAAACCGAGGCACAGGGAGGTTAATAGCTTACCTAGGGTTATACAATCACAGATTGACAGGGCCAGATTTCAAATGCAGGCAGCCTGGCCCAGAACCCACTTTCAGAGCAGATGGGCCCAGAGTGGCTGCTCCCAGCCCTGATTCAGGTGTCCCTGGCCCCACCACGAGCCACACCAGGCCGGCTGTTAGCTGCTGCCATCAGAAATTGAAATTCAGGCCCTCTATCTGCTTCAGTGACCTCTGGAATTGATAATTCTTTTTATTTTCAACTTAAATGATAGCATCACAGCAAGAAGCCCACAGCTTTAAATCCCATCAAGATTTTAACTCATCACCATTCCAAAGAGGTCAGCCTGAAACGATTTTGTGTGTGCAGGCCGCCAGGACTGGAAATTGAGGCTGGAGGAGCCATCGCCCACAGTTCGGTCTGCGGTGGGTGAACCCTCGGCAGCCTCGATGCTTCTTCATTAGTTTGCCTGGAACGTGGCCTTGGTGTCAGACATTCCAGGTTTTTTTCTGCCCTTTAAAAAGAATCTGATTCCCATCCCAGTGCTTAATTGGAGAGAGACCTTCGGTCCTTTCCTGTTGCTTGTGGTTGAGCATTTTTATGCTCAAAATTTTCATTTGATGAAACTCGGTCGCTGCCCTAGGAGACTTGGCCTGCATTGCATTAAAAACCTGCAGGAGCTTGCAGGGGTTCCGGGGTGGCAGGGCCCCTGGAGACCTCCTACCTCCCTGGAGAGTCTGAAATTGTTGTACTAGGGGTGAGTCCCTAACACTGCCTGGGCCGTAGTGGACCCTCACATCATGTTAGCCTTTTTTCCCCCTGCCTTTTCCAAGCTGCCAATAGTATAAGGCATTTTATATACATCACTCCATTTACTTCTCCCAGTAGCACATGCCACTGGAAATATGTTCTGTTCATTTTTCTTCCTGAAGAGACAGAGGCCCAAGAGCAAGTTTCCAGGGGCTTGGGCTCCGTGGTGGAGGAGGCAGGGTCTGAAGGCAGGTGGCCGAGCTGTCAAGCTGTGTGTTTAGGGCACCCACTCCCAGCTGCAGGAGGTAGGAAACATCCTTAGAAGGCAGAAGTGGAGCACAAGGACCAGATATGTGGCTTCCCGGTGGCGGGTGGGCTGGCTGGTGCCTCCTCAGACCACTGCAGTGGCCCCGTGTCGCTTTCTGCCTGAGGCTTCCAGGCAGGGTGGCTGCAAGGCTGTGGCCTGGCAGACTCGGCACTCGGTGTGACCCCGGGCTAGTGTGGACAGTGCCTGTGACTTCTGCTCTTAGGGCACACCCTTTCATCTCTGCCCAAGACCCAACATTTGAGCATGCGTCCCTCCCCTACTCTGTCCCTGCTCTTACCAGCTCCAGACCTAAAATTCTCCTGATGTCCTTATTTAACAATCCAGCTGCACTAACAGCCAGAGCCGTGGCTCCCAGCTTTCTAGTACAGCAGAAGCACCTGGAGGCCTGGCAAGCCCAGACCCCTGTTCCCCCCCCCACCCCCCAGTTCTCCAGCTGCTGATCCAGGGACACCTCATGGGAGCCCGGGGACAGAGAACGCTGCCCCAGCTAGATGTGTACCGCGGTCTGACTAATGAGGCTCCCTGATGATGGAAAATCTGAGCCATGTTGGGGGAAGTGGTAAGGAAGATACGGGGGGGGCCTCCCCTGGTGGCACAGCGGTTAAGCGCTGGGCTGTGATGCTGCCCTCAGCCTCTGCAATGCTGGTTCGATCCCTGGCCCCCGGTGAGGGTTCCACATGGCACGCAGACCTCTCCTGCCGCCCCCACTGCTCCCCTCAGCAGTGTGCTTTGTCAGTCCGCCTGTTCTGCTCCCCGCTCTGGCTCTGGTGATTTCTCTCTCCTTCCCACGCTTCTGACTGTACCCAGTGCTTGTATAAATAAATAAATCTTTAAAAAAAAAAAAAAAAAAAAAGGAAGATAGAGGGCCCAGCACACTGGGCCTTTGTCCCTTTCCAGCGTTCTAGAGAATGGCGGGTTTTAGCAACTCCACAGTGGCTTCGGCCATGCCCACTGGAATAAGCCTCTGCCAGGGTGCCCCTGAGCACACCTCCCCTGAGGATGGAAAGGCCTTTGGATCCCCACGTGAGCACTCCTCAGTCTAGAATGTGCTTTGGAGCCCCCTGGAGTCGCGAGACGGTGGGGATTCCACCTGGGGTGCAGCCTTTCCCCTGCGCACACACTGGGTGGCCAAGCCATGGCAGGCCAGTGTTTGCCCGATGATGGAATCACTTGGGGCACTTACAGAATAACAATACTTGAGCTACCCCCTTCAGAGCTTCTAATTCAGGGATTTTCAAACCCCCTTTCCAAGTGATTCCAATGTACAGACAGCTGGAAATCACTCATCTTTACAAAGGTGACAGATGGAACGCTAGCCGAGTGGCCTGAGGGGTGCTGGCCAGGCCACCCCCACAGAGAAGCCAGCCTGGGCACCTCACACTAGTAAGCGCTCAAGTGTATGATGTCGTGGATGAGCCTGGCTGGCTACTTAGGGCAGGGCTGGAGAAAGCCAGCAACCCCAGAACTCCAGGATATGCGGTTCTACTTAACCAATTCTGGGCCGGGACCCAGGTTTCTGCATTTCCAACAGGCATCCAAATGTCAGCAGCAATGCCGAGACTCATGGTTGGACCACAAGGGCCCACACAGTGCCCCTCATCTCTGCAAGGGTGGCCATGCATAGCCGTCTCAAGCTGAGGGTCAGAGGCTTTGGGTCCTCATCAACCCTAAAACACCATCTTGAAGTCTCTCTACTCCAGCCTGGTACTGAAGAGGACCCTGGGCATTCCCGGTCAGTTTCCTAGTAACATTTTTTCTCTCTTCCTTCTCTCTCCACAGTACGAGATGCAAAAAATCTAATCCCTATGGATCCAAATGGACTTTCAGATCCTTATGTGAAGCTGAAACTTATTCCTGATCCCAAAAATGAAAGTAAACAGAAAACCAAAACCATCCGCTCCACACTCAACCCCCAGTGGAATGAGTCTTTTACATTGTAAGTGGTGTCTCCTCTTCCTTGTCTTCTTGCCAGCTCTCTTCCCTGCACACACAAGACTGCCCCCTCATTGTTAGCGACATCGGGCCGGGTTTGTTAGACACCCTCAAGAACTGCCTCATTTGTGACCACCCCAGACTGCTGCTCAGGAGGCCATGTTTGCCCACTGTGTGATGGACATTACTGTCCATCTTAGCTGACCAGCACCTACATCATACCAGCCCCCAATGAATATCAACACCTACTCTGAACAAAAATGATCTTATGCTAAAATGATATAAAAGTGTATAAAATGTGTCCCACCTCTTCATGGGTTCTTTTGAAGGTTAGAGGATGGAATGAGGTCAGAATTTAAATAATTTTTAAAATACAGAGTAAGTGAGTAACACGGACAGTGGCTGTTGCCACTGAAATGGAAGATCATCCACATCTTTAATCAGGGAAGACTTCCTGGGGGAGATAGCATTTACAGCGGACCTTGAAGGAGTGCCTGCCAGGATTTTGGAGGTAGAGATGGTAGAAGGGAAAGATGGGAGGAGGGAAAGGCGTGAATATGTCAAGGGTAAGAAGACACCGACAGCAGCAAAGCACAAGCAAGTGGTCCTCTATTTAGACTAGAACATAGAAGGCAATCAGAAATGTCACTGTGTATTGTATGGAACAGAAGCCAGAAAGTTTTGCCCTGCAAAGACTAAATAGTAAATATTTTAGACTTTTTGGGTCATATAGCCTTTATGGCAGGTATACAGCTCTTTTCATCTAGAGTGAAAGCAGCTGTGGACAACATGTAAACAAATGTTTACATGGCTGTTTTCCAATAAAACTTTATTTAAAAAAACAAGTTGTGGGCCAAATTTGGCATATGCATCATAGTTTACTAATCCCTGATCTAGAGTTTGGTTGCCAGGCACCTAGTACTTTGTTGGCAACAGGGAACCACAGGAAGAAAATTGAATGCGGCCATGTGTGACTTTAACACTGTGTCAGCCAACCACATACTGCGTAGATGACAGTGGTCTCCTTAGGCCCTTCCGTGTAGCCTAGGTGTGTAGAGAGCCACCCCATCTAGGTTTGCTATTACATTCACACAACGAAATGACCTAACGACATTTCTCAGAATGCAGCCTAATTATTAAGCAATGCAGGGCTTGTACTCTATCTCAGACTGGAGTGTGAGCACATAGTATGTCCCAAGTAACTGTGATCAAGATAATCTGGCATGTGTGTGTTCTTTTGTAGCAAATTGAAACCTTCAGATAAAGACCGACGACTGTCTGTAGAAATCTGGGACTGGGATAGAACAACAAGGAATGACTTCATGGGCTCCCTCTCGTTCGGCGTGTCAGAGCTGATGAAGATGCCCGCCAGTGGATGGTAAGAAAGCCCCTGGAGTTTGAATATGTCTGTGTCAACCAAGGGAAAATGGTTTCAAGACAGCAGAGCATTTAGAGATTTGGAAAACAAGCCAGTTCAGGTCTGCAGTGGCTGTTGCAATGTAATCTGGCCACAGCCTCCCCATGGGACATGTTTCTGGAACAGCGGATCTAGAGGTTGAAGGAGAGGAGTGGCTGGCCCCTAACTCTTCTCTCCATGTCTCTGAAAGGTACAAGTTGCTTAACCAAGAAGAAGGTGAGTACTACAATGTACCCATTCCAGAAGGGGATGAAGAAGGAAACGTGGAGCTCAGACAGAAATTTGAGGTGAGGCTCCCTATTACTGGAAATGTAGCAAGGACCAGATTTTTGTGGGCACTCTGCTGAAAGGCAAGAAGGAGCTCAAGCCTTCATCTTTTTCTTTCTTTAAAAAACATAAACATGGCATCCTTCCCACCCTTTGCAAGCTGTTGGCATCCTACATCTATCACCGTTACAGGGTGGAAATTGTAAGCATCCCAGAAATGAGCATGGTCAATTCTGCTTAAGAAATTGGTTTCCGCCTCCCCGGTGGCGCAGCAGTAGAGCACTGGGTTGCTAAGCTGCCCGCAGCCTCTGCAGCGCCAGTTCGATCCCCGGCTACCGGGTGAGGGTCCCACATGGCACACAGACCTCTCCTGCTGCCCGCTGCTCCCCTCAGCAGTGTACTTCATCACTCTGCCTGCTCTGCTCCCCGCTCTGGCTCTGGAGAATTCTCTCACCCTCCCACGCTTCTGACTGTGCCCAGTGCTTGTATAAATAAATAAATAAATCCTTAAAAATAAAATAAATAAATAAATCTTTAAAAAAGAAAAAAGAAAGAAATTGGTTTCCCCCCCCTCACCCCCATGGGGAGACGGCAGAGTATGCAGAGAGCAGTGTTCTCATTAAGAAAAAAGGGCTTGGGCCTCCCCGGTGGTGCAGCGGTTGAGCGCTGGGTTGCAAAGCTGCCCACAGCCTCTGCAGCACCGGTTCGATCCCCGGCTGCTCCCCGGCCACCAGAGGAGGGTCCCACATGGCGCGCAGACCTCTCGTGCCGCCCGCTGCTCCCCTCAGCAGTGTGCTTCGGTCCTTCTGCCTGCTCTGCTTCCTGCTCTGGCTCTGGTGAATTCTCTCACCCTCCCGTGCTTCTGACTGTACCCAGTGCTTGTATAAACAAACAAACAAATAAATAAATAAAAATCTTTTTAAAAAAAAAAAGAAAAAGGGCTGTGCTCCTCCAAAAGGCAGGTCACCTTGGCCTTAGCTGGGGGAGGGAGTTAGGGTGTGGTTCGGCTACTTGCCAGAGTCTAAAATTTAGCCCCAGATATTAGGAAACATGAACTGGATATTTGTGCTGTCCCGGGTTCATCTGTCTTCTTTCTCCCTGCTCCCCGTTTCTCCATCTCTCCTCCTCTCCACCTCCTTTTCTCTGCAGCCCAGCTTTGTTCACTTACTAGATGGCTGAGCTTGTGATGAACAGTCTTCTCTCTAAGCACCTGCCTTATGTTCCAAGTCACAGCTTTTCATTTTCTAATCATCTGCATTTCGGCTGTTGGAGGGATTCCTAGAATAGCCGTTCAGTCTATTCCATTTTTGAATCTTCCTCTTCCTCAAACTAATTAGGATTCCCCCAAATTCCCCTTCCTAATCAAATGCACATGTACACACCCTTGTGTGTGTGTGTGTGTGTGTAGATGCTGAACTGTTATTGAAATGTTGACAGTAAAGAGCTGCTGACGGGCTTATTTCCCCCCCTTCTGGTGTTTCCATCTCTCAAGTAAAATTATGTCCCAAAGAAACTTATAGGTTATATCCAGATAAGATGACTTTCAAAGGATAGACACTATAAAAATGTCCAAAATGTTTTATAATACTGATACTTCGTTAAATTGTACATTAATGACAAATATTTAAGGAGAGCAGCTGTGAGCCTGGATGTTCTGTGGAACCTAAATGAGTGAAATTAGTCACTTTTTCAGTCAATGATACAATAGGGAATGGTGGGGACTGGGGTAGGCCGGTGAGTACAGGTCCTGTTAAGGGCCTCAGCCACAGCTGCTCAGTGCCAGTTGACTTCTGCTGTGCATGAAAAAGAGTCCTGTGGGGCCTCCCCGGTGGCGCAGCGGTTGAGCGCTGGGTTGCAAAGCTGCCCGCGGCCTCTGCGGCACTGGTTCGATCCCCGGCTGCTCCCCGGCCACCGGAGGAGGGTCCCGCATGGCGCGCAGATCTCTCCTGCCGCCCGCTGCTCCCCTCAGCAGTGTACTTCGGTCCTTCTGCCTGCTCTGCTCCCCGCTCTGGCTCTGGTGAATTCTCTCACCCTCCCGCGCTTCTGACTGTACCCAGTGCTTGTATAAACAAAACAAACAAACAAATAAATAAAAAACATGCCTCTATTAAAAAAAAAAATTGTTTTAAAAAAAAAAAAGAAAAAGAAAAAGAGTCCTGTGCTGCCAGATCTTCTGGTTCTTCCAGAGAAGCCTAAATAATCAGATTTTTAAATATTCTGATTTCTTTTAATGTTGGGAGGTAATTAAAACTTAGAAGTCTGTGTGGGACAGACACACATCATTGCTTTAGACACAGATAAAATTCTGCAGTGGATACCAGCTTGCAATCTCTGCTCTTAACAATGTAGGAGAGGGAAGAGGAGAGATGGAGAAAAGAAAAAGGAGGAAGAAGAGAGAGAAAAATAAATTTTATACATATGAGGATTTCCAAAGAGGCCGTATAATATTTAGGGACATTCAGCTGCACGGATGAAAGGGCTGGGGCTGGTTTTAACTGCCTACACCAGGCCCAGCTCTTTCTCTATTTGTTTTCTTCTTCACTTGCTTCATTATCCACTCCTACCTCCTCCCCAGGGCTGAGGATAGGAAGCTGGAGTACCAGACAGAAAGGCTTCTTCCTTGTGTATCCCATCACCAATGTCGCACCACCTCTGTGGGGGCGAATCCTTCTAGAGAGCCTTTCGGGACCTGAGTTGCCAGCATTACTCAGATCTGTCCCAGACAAGGGAGAGCCTGAGGAGCTCAAAAGAACCCTCCTGAATTTCCTGCCACAGCGTAGGTCACTGGCAGTCGGCGGGTCCATGCCTGGAACACCTTTGCGGGAGGGATAACTTTGGGGCCTCACCCGTTTGGCTCTTGGTAATGTCTGAGACTCAGCGTTGCTGGTAGAGAAACTTGACCCACTTTTTATGCTTCATTTCCATGGCTTCCTGGTGAGTAACCTTCCTGTTTTTCTGGGCAGCGAGTCCAGCTTTTTATAAAGGTCAAAGTTCCAAACTCAAAAAAAAAAAAAAAAAAAAACAGAAATAAATCAGGCCAGAGGGATGGAGGCCAGGGCAGCCTTTCTCCCCGGAGGCCAGGGACAGGCCTACCCCTGCCAGCCTGCCCTGCTCCCCAGCCCTGTGCAGTGGGGCAGTGGCATTCGAGGGAGAGCTAAGGGGGCTGTGCCGGCCGAATTCCCTGCTCCCAATACCTGTGGGAGCTACATCTTGGCTTTTTGTTTAAACATCCTGGGGCTTGTATTTCATAGATTTTGCTGAAGTCACATTTGCTCATGTGCTTAGGGCATTTGTAAAACACATTTCAAGGGACTAGCAGAAGCTGCTACATGACAGTGTCAGGGAGATACTGCAAATTTTATGGCTAGGGTGGTGATGCCTTTCAAAGGGAGCACTCCCGTCTGGTTGTAGGCGGGGCTCCTGCAGATCACGTGTCATGTTGAGGCCTGGAAATATGTCAGCCACATTGTAGCCCCAGCTCTTGGCTGCTGGGAGGCAGCGAGCCAGGGCAGAGAGGCCATGTCTGCATTTGAGCAGTCCGGGGTCATGGCCTGCGCTCCCAGACAGGGGGCCAGTCAGATCAGGGCCTTCAGCCCCACCCCATTTCTTCCTCTGGGTCCCCTCCCAGGGTCTGCAGTTCCCCCTCATTTTCTTCTCCCCCCGCATAAGTGCCCTTCTGACTTGCCCACCTTCCTCTTCACCTTTTCACCCACCTTTCATTCCTTAATCCTTTCCCACCCTCTGGTAACAGTTTGATTCAGGTGAGCACACTCTTTTAATTTAAAGTTTAGTGGTGAATTGTGACTGGATGAAATGCAAGACGATGGTCTGTTTGATGATGAGGTGTCGCTCGCCAGGGTGGCACAACATCAGGCCTAGGAGGTTATCCTTGCATGTCCAGCTGTGTGCGTCCGTGTTCTCTAGAAGGTGGTAACTCAGGGTGGCTGGCGAAGCCTTCCACAGAAATCAAACGTCGTTCAGCCTGATGAAAGAGAAGTGAGCATTGTAGCTGTGCCGCCACCTTAGCATCCATCTGATAATTAGATGCAAAACATTTCAAATGCGCTGTTGATCCTAGAATCTTAGCCAACAGAACCACGAGGGGTGAGGCCCTTAGGAACCCAGGAAAATCCCAGGAGGGCTGGGAATGACCTTACTGTGCAAAGCACGTCCCGCTAGAGCTGTTCATCCGTCTAAAAACAAAACAAACCCTGACCTTGACCACGATGTTCATGGACCATGCATCTGCAGGCCACTGACCGCGTGTTTGTCTTTAAATAAAGTACACGCAGTGCCTGATTCACATACATAAATTATGTATCTGTGCAATAATAACATTCCAGTAATGAATGAAGCAAATAGTCCCTCCCTTCCGTGAAGCTGATGTCCTGCACCTGCAGGTGGGCCCTGCTTCATCTTTTTGGGGGTGAAGCGTATTGAGAAAGCATATTGAGACATGACCGCGGTATGTCTCTGTGCTGGCTGGCGATTCTCCAGACCTTCCCAGGACTGCTATTCCTCCGCTCCTGGGCCTCGGTTCCCCATGGCCAAGGTCAGGGAAGGGGGTCTGTCTTCATTAGAGGTGGTCCGAGGATAGTTGAATGCCCTTCTGGCAAATTTTCTGTGAAAACATGCATAATCAATGTTTCAGGCTTTGCAGCGTCTGTAGCAATGCCTCAGCTCTGCCTCTGCAGTAGGAAAGCAGCCAGAGGTAGTGTGAACAAATGGACGTGACTGTGAAAGTAATTTACAAAAACAGGTGGCAGCCCAGACTGGCCCCATGGACTCCAGAATCAAATCCTGGTTCTGCCATTTATTAACCAAGCACCCTCCTCCCTGCACCTGTGTTTCCCTGGGAATCAGCAGTAGTTACTGAGGAGTGTTTCAAAGAGTGAATTAAGTTGTCAAAAGAAAAACCCTAGCGGCACACTTATTTTGCATACTAACAGTGTTACCTCTCCATCATCCTCATCATCGTCATGTTTCAGTGCAGAAAGTGGGTTTTGGAGGGGACTTTTTT